ATTTAAAATGACGTTGTTAAGTAACAGGAAGTGCTGCATTTACTCAGATCTTTGCGTTACTTAACACTGCTCGCTGATAAGGGTCAATGAATCCGCCCGCCCTAGTTGTCGGCTCCTTTGACATCGAAGCAGTCGACGCCGGGCCGTCCAAGGAATTCTTGAATCTTATTATGGAGTAAATAAAAAACTGTAGCTGGGGTTGGCAGTTAGGAAGAGTAAGGTGGTTATTCAAGGCATTTAACATTTTAGGGGTTATGGTCGGCGCAGTCAGTCGACCCGCGTCTTTCCTCCCATTATCGCGGCAAGAAGTGGCGCGCTGATGACCTGAAGGATTTGCAGTTGGGAAGACTGTCTTCGATGTCTATGCATTTTCTGCTCGAAATAGCGGGCTATCGTAAGCCCTCGTTGGCAGTCGTTGCCGAAGAATGACGACTTCGGGCGACGGCTATGGCGCACCGGGCTGTCCGAACAAGAGTTGGAAGAAATTTTAAGTCGGTTTGATATAAGGAAAATTTATGCGCATTTTGGGTTGAAAGAGCAGCGTACCCGAGTATCAAATATTTTGTGGTTCTATTATGTATATATAGAGTCGACGCCGCTATTACTAACAAAAATGAACTGCTAGTCTGCTCAGGTAACTTGAGGTTCGCAAAATCTGACATAAGTTAAAATCCGGAATTTTTTAAATAATACTCATAAATTCTAGAATCCTAAAAATAATAGCAGTGTGACAAGGGTATGCAGTGGAAAAGGCTATAGTACAGTTTTTCAACTGTATACTATTTCAGTTGGCATTTTGCCGCAGCATGACAGAAAACTCTTTTAGGCTATTTCCTACACACATCTTTTCGGAATAACCATTAAAAAAGGTTTCCCAGGTAATGTTCTTAGGTTAGGTTCATTAAATACGAAAGTTCTTTCAAGACCGAGAATCTAAGTACTAGTATAGTGGTCAAATCATACTCACTCATAACTGCTACAGAATAAAAAATAGTACAGCGCGATTAGAACAGCGTATCCGGGACATGCTACCTACTACCTAGTACCTAGTTCGTCATGATAACAACGCGAGGTCACCCGGATTTTAACTGTAGTTGAAAAGTTAATCTCCGGGTCACCTCGCTCAAAGATTTTGAGAAGCGTTATTGAACGATCCTGGCAAAATGTATGCCTAATGGAACCAGGTCAAGATTTTTATGGGCAAAACAATTATTACTGCCGAACTGGTGTGATCAGAGTTGCATAGTTGTATACTGTAGTCATCTATAGACTGGGCGTACAGTTTCCGCACTACGCGCAGTAAGTTTCGAGGGGAATGTTGCTTTTCATCTAGGCGCTTTTACTGCAGTCAGATATTATGGAGCATTTCTTATACGCCCTGAGCTGAAGATTAGGTACTAGCAGTTTTCCACCATGTTCCGTATGCCCCACGTCGACGTGTTGGGTGAAGACGGCTTGTTCCGCATTGGGCGCGTGTTAGAGGCAACGGAGAGTGGGCTCTTTATCAACTTCCTCTGTCCCAACCGACGACGTGAATTCATCCCGTTCAGCCAAGTTTTCCATATTGCCGCGTCACTGACGGAAAAAGATCTTGCCAAAGCGTACACCAACGCCAAACCGTCCGCGACAATTCCCGTTGACACTCTGCTGCGCGAATCCCTTTGCGATGTATGGACGTGGACTCCTTCGGAAATTGTTAATGTAACGCGCAGCATCCGTCATCAGATGTGCAGTGTGGCCGTCGTCCAATATGGGAACAACCTTCAGTGTATGGAGATCGTTCGGGTAGAGCAACTGCGTCGTAGAATGGCGAGGGATGATTGCCGTCCAGTTTCCTTGGTTGATGTTATGAATTTGCGCGTATTGCCCTTTTGGCGGAGGCTTTGGATGCGGAGCAGTGTGTCAATTTGCACCCTCACGCAGGTAATTGGTTACACTTCCCAAATTTTTCCAGGTAAGTTCTTTCTTAGAAACTGTGAAAAGGCACTTCTACCTTTATTTCGGTCGATTAGAAAATGAATGAATTAACTTCTAAATGAGCTATATATACATAGAATGAACTTTATATGAATTTTCATGAAGAAATGCGGTACTTATATGCTTAATTTGTGAAATTCCGTACGAGTAGTGAAGACTAAGAACGAAGGTCACCATCCTGTGAAGATCCCTTATTCTGTTGGATGATAGCATCACTGTCAGCATGTATGATTTTCTTGAAGGTGCTTCTTCCTTACCTTGACGCGTTGACCTCAAGTGTACGACACATTAAACGGCAGCTGGCCGATTTGTTCTATCCCGATGAAATCGATGACCTGTGTGCGCTTCCGCCAGAGGTGCTGTTGGACGTGCTTTCCTATTTGGATACGAAGACCCAGATCAGATTACGCACCGTTTCTTCTGCATGGAACTGCCTCTTGGAATCAGATTTGTTGGCGATATGTTTAATTGTTACAAGCTCGCATAAGGGCCGTGTGAGAATCAGCCAACTAAATTACTCTCTAGTGGCACCTGTTTACAAATGCCTGCGCAAATCAACACGGCACATCATTGTGGATGATCGAGAACGTTGGATGGATACCGGCGATTTTATGCAACTGACAGATCTGCTACACTATATTGGCCAAAATGCAGGGCGTCGATGGCGAGCGATCCATTTCGTAGGACTTGTCATGGGACTGCGTTCAGGCTACGTTATAGAGTCCGAGAATAATATAAACGGGAAATGTCCACTGCATCGCCACAGCGCCGACGATACCAGTAATTCGTTGCCGTTTGCTTATCGTCTCGTGGATTTTATCGTCGCCTGCGGCGGTCTGCCGTGCGATACCATCCGTCTTATTAACTGCCGAATCCATCTGGAGTTCGCTGCGCTGGACGAGTGGTTGGTGGTTAATCGGGAGATCAAGCTTTGTGCTAAGCTGTCGGCGGTTTCGTTGCCGCTGAGTGGGGATTTCGGGAGCGTTGTGTGGGATGCATTTGAGAGATGCGTGCCGAAGCCCAGAGGAGGGCAGCTCGAAACTTTAAAGGCGCGGTTGGCGTTGGCTACTGCTGAACAACGGGGATTGGCATGCAGGGTGAGTGCGGTCGTTGACTTTAAAGCGCTGCAACTTCAAACTGATTAAAGCCGCCGCTTGAATTATTTTTCGAATAATTAATTTTTAAAATAAGCGAAGAGCAACAATAATCGGACGGTTTTTGAAGTATGTAACTTTCTGTATGCTGGGTTTTTTTTACTTCTGAGACTGAGTTCGAAAGACGTTATTTTTGTTTTGAAAAGCCCTGCACTTAAACGGTCGAGCGAAATACATTTTTTGAAAAATGAGATCCAACAGAATACATTACTCGATAAAAACATTAGCGTCGATTTTCGAAACACTAGGCTTAGACGCTTTAGACGAAAAGAAGTCCTGTTGACAATAGCGCACTGCGTTCGCGGTTAAGATGGACTTAAGGGATCGAGTGGAATAGTCAGTGCAACTTGCTACGTTGTAGGTTTTGTGCGCGACTCAGTCCGCCGACCCACGTCCATCCTCGCAATACCGCGGCAAGTTGTGGTGCGTTGCCGGACTGAATGAACTGCAGCTGCAAAAACTGTCTAAGATTGCGCTGTACTCCCTGGTGGAACTGGTTTATGAGTTTAATGTGTCTTCTATAAGCGATGACGAATCGGACTATGATTACTACTATGACACGGATGACGAGATTGACGACATTTAACCGGATCTTGGATCAGTGAATGGAATGACAGTGAACATATGGAACATGTATGCGTTTGTTATAATCTTTTTGAAGCGTTTTAGACTGGCACAGCTGACCATGAGTGCGACGCTGTAAGCCTGTGCGAGCACTTTTAGCCGTCAAATGCTGCTAGCAGAAGTACGGGTACCTTGACAAATTCCTTATTCCGGCTCCCCTTTACGATTTTTACCATATTCCGGCTACCGGTTATTCGAAAATGGGCGGTATGAACAGGTGCCCTGGTTGGCGACTGCAAGTTTATTAGCTGCACTCGATCCATCTGTTTTTCGAATTTTCCTATTGGTCGACGTAGCATCGTGTACTTTATAGTTCATACCGCATTTTCAAATAACCGAAGTATACTTTTCTCTTTAATTATGTTTTGTGGTTAAGAAGATTCTTCCTTCTAAAGTGCGGATTCATATCGTTACTGGACGGACAGCAATTGAATATTAGTTGTTTTGTTTAGCCAAGTTGTCACTGTCATTAGCAAATTATTTCTGATGCAATGAAATTGATATCGACGACTGCGAGCAAGCTACGAATAAATTTCTAACGGCCGTTTCTAGCTTTCTTTTTCAGCTAACAAATATGATTTTTTCGATCGGGATTCGGCCATCACAATTGTAAGCGACGTATCTTTAGCTTGCGCAGATCGGTTAGGCACTCAAAATCGCTTTTAGAGTAGTATATGGAACAGCGCAGTTGGCGCATACCCGTTCAACGTCAAAGATTTAAAATCCCATCCGCGCTGTTGTAACTCTTGTAACTCAATGTCCCACTATGAGTCTAAGTTAGGACTCCTAAGTTGAACTTAGGAGTCCTAACTTAGACTCATAGTGGGACATTGAGTTACAAGAGTTACAACAGCGCGGATGGGATTTTAAATCTTTGACGTTGAACGGGTATGCGCCAACTGCGCTGTTCCATATACTACTCTAAAAGCGATTTTGAGTGCCCAACGTGCGGTTGTAGGTGTTTACATAATTGTCTGCCGCAACAAAGTGTATGTAGTGCTAGTATATACAGACTCTGTACTGTACTTACATACAGACAGATACAGTTCGTTTCCTAATTGTTGGTTCCGAGGAAAAAACGGCCTGAGTCTGCGTAGTCCTTAACACGTGCGCTCTAGGGTGACGGTTCGAATACCAATCATTACAACAACATTGAGCAGCTCTGCAGTCGCTAGTCAGCGAAGTTTTCCACCAGATTTGAGCTTTTCAGTCTTGAAATTTGCAGACGAGGATCCTACTCCAAAATCATCTCCATTTCGATCATCCGACCGCGTTGATCAATTGATCAAACGCGTTGATCATTCAATGTGTTGACATTCTGGAAACGTGTTGACACAGTTTGCTTAGTCTTGAAATAACTTACTAAGTTCCATTGCTTGTTTGTTCGACAGATTTCAGGTAAAACTGTCTCAGCTCACCTCCTCATTTCCGCAAGCCTGTTTTGCAAGTTTTTTAAGGGGTTAGTGCATTTATATATGTAATTTATAAACATTATGATTGTGTAAGCCTGTAAGTGGTTTACGAACTAGCTTCGCCAGCTTCCCAGACGAAAGACAATCTTTCTCACTTCCAGCTGTACTCCTTGTATAATAAATCACTCTGTGTAGACCGTACACTTGCAGCTACAGGGAATTGGCTTAAACTGCAGTATTCACTGTGACAGAGTGTTGTGAAATCGGGCGTTCGCTAGGTATTGACGTCGCTGATCGGTAATCCGCTGTGTGGGCACCGCCATTGCACGACGGCGCCTCCATTGAATCTGGACGGCAATTTACGCCCCAAACCACGCATTTCGCCCGGGACACCCAAACCGACGGACCGGCTGGTGTTTCCGGCACCAGAACCTCCACAAGTTGCGAAGCTTGAAACCGTTTTACATCCCCGGAATCCATTGGACGATGGAAGAAGATGCTACCGAAGGGTGCGAATTCACGTCGCCGATTGGTACACAGCAGGTCGACGTAAACGCCATACTTTGCCACGTACACGACGCGCCCGTAACGCATCCGCTGATCTCTTCCCAGAACCCACATGGCGTTAGCGCGATGCATTTTTCAAGGTGCGACTGACGACGCTAGACAGAAAATGACGCACGTTGTTCTGGTGTAGAACAACGAACTATATTGATACTGTGTGTGTATGTTGTAGATGATGATCTTCCGAACCCGTACCTTGCAAGTTAGAAGCCCTTAAGTGCCACTTTTGATTTATGTTCTTTACTGACTGACAATGCTGAAAAGTAATGCAAGCTAAGAGCTTGCCAAAACAGAAACAGCTTCCATTGGCCATCGCGTAATTAGGCTCAAAGGTGGGTGGTGTCCCAAGCACACCTTTGGTTACCGTTTACACGCGAAAACTGGATGTTATAATCCTCTGATTGGAAACGTACCACCATTGCTGCTTTTCTGTTGTTCTTTTTCCTATACTTTTTTGGGATACGGTGTACTGTAAAATTCCTTACGCAGTACACACTCGTGACGCAACACGTCCCATAACGGGTGTCATACTGTACTCTCCTGGAAGTCTCCTATTAAACTGTTGGTTTGTAATTTTGTCTTTGCGTTTATCTTGTTACGGTTCTAAAATTGTCGTAAGTCTACGCTACAAAATTTCCGTAAACTAGGAAAAAGTACCAGCTGGTTCATTAGCAGACCGGAGCGCAGCTGCCCATGCACCAATGCACCTTAAAAATGCTATGCGAGAAAACCTTAACAACAACTCCGAGCATTAAATGCTGTACAAACTACAAAGGGCATTCCAAACGTTAGAGAAATTCTCCATTTTTGGGTTTACCTCACAACCTCATTCTGCTCTTCGCACCCATATTGTTTACCATATTCTTTTCTATACCCGTTCAATGAGAACCTAATTTGTGTTCACCAAGCTGAAAAACTTCGGAAAAAAACAGTTACGCGCTTTCTTACATCCAATGTTGTGAGTTTCCGGCAGTAAATTTTATTCCACAGCTTGGCAAAAATTTACTCGTAACTAAAGTGCACTGGAATCGACTAAAAAATCGGCCTTTATTGACAAAATTCGCAGAACGCATGAAACCGGAAATCCGCAAGAAATGTTACGTCTTATGGTAAAAATCACTTCTTTAATTAGTGAGAGTTTGTAGACGATTTGTGTCATGGTAATAACAAGGGCGGCAGTTTTGGGCACTTTGCCGCGAGTTAAACAGTTCAATAACGCTAATGATGGTATTGGATGTTTTGGTAGTACCTAATTTTGTAGCAGTAGTGTCTGGTTAATACTGTCATAATTATGAATCGAAATAAAGAAGAGATTAATAACAAGGGTGCAATTAGCATTCGGCGACATCAATTAAAATGGAAAGCAGAAGAGTGGCAATAAAATAACTGAGAAGCGTTAAGAGGCAGAGAAGTGGTAGTGAAGTGAAACAAATGAATTTTAGGAAGGGCAGTGGTAAGACTGGCCGAACCATCACCAGTTAAACAATTTTTATCTGGACAGTTCTTCTTCGATGATTTTATTGCAGTAGCTTACATGTCAAGATATATATCGTTTGGTGCTATATATATAAGATATATATCGGTGCAAAAATATATATCGTTTGTGTATCACTTAAAACGGAAGCAGGCAAATGGCGGGAAAGAACAATTGAAACGCCCTTTGTCTTACGCATATCTGCCGTTGTTGATGACGGGTGGTAATTTAACACAGCTTTGTAGCTACAGTTTACTTTCGAAATGGATTTTAAGCCGATATGTGCTATTAAAATTATCTGGAGCAGAATGTTATGAACTGTATCAGGAATTACTATTTGCTTTCGCAATTTCCCGCAACTGTTCCACTGGCCGAAAATTGATGAGACGAACCGAGCAGTTTTGGTCTGATAAAAGAAACGTTTCGTTTTCCTGTGTAAAGGTTATGCAATCATTCCAATGTGCAGTTGTTGTTGTCAGACAGGTATGCAGAGCAACCTGCCAGTTCCAACTGGATCTCTTTGTGCTCTGTGTTTTAGTTTATTCAGTTGCATTTTATAAAAGAGCACGGCGCTTACGTCGTGACAGGCACCGAAAGGCGTTTGAGTCCGATAGAATTTTGTGCATTTTAGGTTGAAAAATTTAAAACCATTCAGTGTTTCAGTAACTACTTTCGCCGAGCTGTGAATTCCAAAGATAGTACAGATACCTTAGTCATTGTAGCCGCTGGCGAACTTGCACCACTGTCAGGTCCCACAGCTGCTCGCCCCCTGCCGGCCTTCGCACGCGTTACTGAGAAGATAGACCCAGCATGAAGGGCGTTCTTCATACACCAAGCTCTGTGGTGCAAGTTCGTCCACCAGTTGCAGTATATAACGTCACCTTTACATCCTTATATGACGTCGGTTGACTCTCTTATTTGACGTAATTTCTATTCTTATATCGAGATATTTTTTACTTCCTTGTATGACGTCCCTTTTACTTCGTTGTATGATGTCACTTCTCTCCTCGGTATAAAGAGAGATAGAATATTTTCAATCTCGCGTGAATTAGATGACCTTTGCTGCGCACTGGTCGATGGCGACATTTACTTCCCTTATGCTGTCCTTTTACTTCCTTATATGGCGACATTTACTTCCTTGTGTGAAGTCATTTTCTTTCTTCCGTAACGGACAGACAGACAGACACTTTTTAATTTTGTCTGAATTAGAAGACCTTCGCTGCGCTCCGGTCGACTAATATTTTCGAAACACCCTTTAGCTTCAGCAAATGCAGTTAAACACATCGCGTCATTTCTATAGCCGCGTTTTGTTTCTGTTTCGAGGTTGTGCTGTCAGGTTAACTTTGTTTTCAGGCAGATCCTACTGATTTTCATAAAAACGATTGTTTGGTATTCTTCAGGACCGGAGTCTGCTGACGATTCCAAGTAACTCCAAACAACTGCGATGTTCTTCTCTGACCGTGCCTGTCTAACTAACGGCGTTGAGGTTTTGGGGTTACTGTTTCGCAGTGGGCGCGTGGTGGACGTGGCGGACAATGGACTCTTAATTGACTTCCGCTGTCCCAGCCGACGCTGCGAATTCACTCCGTTCGGCCGGCTCTTCCACAAGGCAATGTCCGAATCAATGAACGATCAGCTTCTTGCCACAGTGCACTTATTCGCAAAACCCGGCGTAAACATTCCCGTGGATGTGCTGGTGCGAGAGACACCATCGGGTCCGTGGACCTGGTTCCCCGCTGAAATGCTCAGTGTGCTGCGCGACCTTTGCCACAAAACCTCCACCGTAGCTGTTGTCCAGTGGATGCGCGATGTGCGTGTACGGATCTGTTTCCGTTGAAACGCTTGCGCTGGAGAGTACCAAGCAGTTTTTGGGCGACAGTGGGCCGTGAAGTTCCCGTCACGCTCTCCATATCGAATTACTGGCGTGATGATTCTTCTCATGTAAAGCAACCAGTCACTTGGCTTGAGCCAGTGAAACCAGGCATATTCGAGAAACGCAGTATGCTGTTGCCGGAAGACTTTCGCCACAGGAATGACGATCAACTGCTCCTGTACTTGAATGGCGAAGCGATTTGTCGTCCTGCCTCTAACTGCCAGCCGGTTTATTTCGTGGATGTAACGGTTAAGGATGGATGTGCCAGACTGTCCTCTATTTGGCGGCATCCGGTCGATGATTTGTGGCAACGGACTATGAACCATTTTGGCCTCGCTCAGGAAACCACAAGATCTTGCGAATACTTTGAGCCGTCTGAGGTCAGGCTTTTGAAACTGAAGTGCAGTTGTGTTAACTAATTCTTTGATTCCGTAATGCCAATTTTACTGGTAGACTTGCTTGTGGTGAAAAGTTTTCCGTGCTTCGGATACATCTTATTCTACTTTCATATAATTTGATAACATTTGTTTTACGTCTGTTTTTGCAGTACGAAATCAAAGAATGTGAACATGCTATAGCTTCAAGTTTGCGGAACATCAGTTGCCTGCCAGAAAAGGGAATTCAACTGTAGAGCGCGAGGAAATCGATGAGATCCACATGCTCACGCCAGCTGTGCTGGTGGAAGTGTTTTCCCAGTTGGACACCTGGACGCAGGTCGGACTGCGCACCGTTTGTTTCACGTGGGACGCCATCTTGGAATCTCCTGTGTTGACGACCTGCATTGTTATTACCAGCCCGCAAAATGACTCCCAACCGAATTGCAGTCAGCTGCATTACTTTCTTACCTCGCCTGTTTTCTCTTGTCTCCGCAAATCCACGCAGCACCTTATTGTCGATGCCCGCAACAGTGGGATGGATATGGGCGATCTTCAGAAGCTGACGGAGATGACACACTATATCGGCCAGAAAACAGGGAGCCGATTGCGTACCATCCATTTCGTACGACTCAACCTGAAACTGCAATTTGGCAACATTGGCGATTCCGGTGATCGTGAGGATGCTCGATGTCAGCTGCACGGTCACAACGCTGACGATTCCAGCGGGTTGTTCTCGTCATTCTATCGTCTCGTCGAATTCATCGAAGCTTGTGGTGAACTGCCATGCGATATGATACACCTGGTGACCTGTTCAATGAAATTTGATTTTGCTGATTTACGCCAGTGGAAGGAGACGCTGCTGTCGATTAACCTGACAGCGGTTCGGCTGCCGATGAGTGGGGGTATGAGCAGCGCGTTGTGGGATGCCCTGGAGTCCAACATGATTATGCCCACTGCCAAACAGCTCGGATTCTTGTCAACATGGCTGGCATCCGTCATCGACAGTGCACATCCCAGAAAGCGCTCTACGCGCGGAATAGCCTGCAGGGCGAGTGCGCTTTTGCTACGTTAAATTAAAGATATCGTTGATCCACTTCGTTCGAACGGCACTGCTATTGCGGAATTTGACTTTATGTCGCAACGATCCAAGAACAACTCAGTGTTCACCAAATTAGAGGAAACCATGAATTAGAGTCCATGAATTAGAGGAAACCGTTCGGAAAGAAAGTAGCTTCGCCTCAAACAGTCAATGTTTATGAACCGTTTCAGTGTTGCAACTAAGCTGACAGCGTTTGCGTGGTAAAACGATACTATTTTCGTGCTGGAACTCAGTTTCTGATTGCAGGCGTTGTGCGCGACACAGACAACCGACCCGCGTCCGTCCTCACATTATCGCGGCAGGAAATGGTGCGCTGACACATAACAGTTTCGAAGTGCGGGGCTAAGAGTTACGTCAGTGTGTCACCGCCTTTCATTCTGTCATTTTTTATTTTCAAAATTCACCGAATTACATATCTCAAAATTAATTCCGGACATTCGCAAATATATGCCGACCCTCGAAACACGATAAGTAATACTGAAGTAAGTTCAGAAAATAGAACCCTAAGTTACCGGTTGAATGGCCAAACGCGAAGCGCCCATGTTAATTCACCTATACTTGAAGTTTAATTTAGTTTACCTATATACCAAACTTAATTTACCTAATTTATCTCCTCCACAATAAAAGCCTCCTCT